GTGCAGAGAGGGAACCTCGTGATGGAGTTATCTGTACTCAGCCCTACATTCTCGTCTCCCTGCAGAACACTTCACCTGCCCAGGCATTGCTTCTACTGGGAGCTGCATCACTCTGTTTGTCTCCTTAGTCTGTAACCTATGGATGTGACATGCAAAGGGGGAAACACTCCGGCTGCTAGTGACCACACGCCACTGTCAGCCAGCTGCATATTTTGTCACCACCTCCCACTGCTGATGGGCTGGAACTGGATAGATCAGAGAGGGCCCAGACAAACAAGATGTGAACAGGAATGAGAAAAAGCCTTTTAGGAAAGTGATTCCTCAGCCCAATAACTATCATCAGCCCTTGGCATTTCCCTCCATACACCCCACACCCCAGACAAAGTTGAGATCTCAGAATCTTCTGTTACACTAAGGCTTTCTTATAGTATGGAGGGGTGTATGTGTGTGGGGGAGAGAGAGAGACAGCAGAGAGAGGGAGAGAGAGAGAGAGAGAGAGAGAGAGAGAGAGAGAGAGAAAGTTTGAAAACTTTCAAAGCTTGCCGAGCAGCTTTTGTCCCAGAGGATCTTGAGTGTCGGATTCAGGGCAGAGGGGCCAGTGCCCTATGCAATTGCTACCTTGTCAAGTAGCAATGTCCCCTTGTGTTGCAGTTAATGCACACAAACACACACACACACACACTCATAGGTTTAATCATAGCACACTTAGAAGTTTTAATAGGACATAGTTTTGGAAGTTGTTTGCAAAGTTTTCATATGGTTATTATGATTATGGGCTCTTACAAATATACTTCCCAAAATCTGAACTTTCTGGCATTAAGTGGTTCAGAACAGGAAGCAGAAGAAGAATGCTCCTTGAAAAACCCGGCTTGATGCCCGTAGCTCAGTGAGTAGGGTGCTGGCCACTTACACTGAGGCTGGCGGGTTAGAGCCCAGCCAGGGCCTGCTAAACAACAATGACAACTGCAACCAAAAAATAACTGGGGATTGTGACAGGCACCTGTTGTTCCCACCTACTTGGGAGGCTGAGGCAAGAGAATCACTTAAGCCAAGAGTTTGAGATTGCTATGAGCTGTGATACCACAGCACACTATTGAGGGTGACATAGTGAGACTCTGTATCAAAAAAAAAAAAAAAAAAAAAAACAATAAAGAATAAATATAAATAAATAAATAAAACAAAACCTGGCCAGGAGTGGTGTCTCATTTCTATAAAGCTCAGCACTTTGGGAAGCTGAGACAGGAAGATCTCTTAAAGACAAGAGTTGAAGACCAACCTAGTCAACCTAGAAAGATCCCATCTCTACAAAAGTAAAAAGTAAAAAATTAGCTGGGTATAGTGGCACGTAACTGTAATCCCACCACTTGGTAGGCTGAAATGATAGATCGCTTGAGCCCAGGAGTTTAAGCTTGTGGTCAGCTATGATTTTACCGCTGCATTCCAGCCTGGGCTGGCAAAACAAGACCCCATCTAAAAAAAAAAAAAAAATCAAACCAAAAAGCAAATGTTCTAAGAAATTTCGATGAATTCTTTTACAGGCCTATATTATATAATCTTCACTTATAACAATTTTCTTAAAGTCTCTTTTACAAAGGAGGAAATTAGGCTCGGCGCCTATAGCTCAACCGGCTAAGGCACCAGCCACGTACACCTAAGGTGGCGGGTTCGAATCCCCAGCCCGGACCTGCCAAAACAACAATGACGGCTGCAACCAAAAAATAGCCAGGCATTGTGGCGGGCGCCTGTGGTCCCAGCTACTTGGGAGGTGGAGGCAGGAGACTCGCTTGAGCTCAGGAGTTGGAGGTTGCTGTGAGCTGTAATGCCACAGCACTCTACCCAGGGGGACAGCTTGAGGCTCTGTCTCAAAAAAAAAAAAAAAAAAAAAGGAGGAAATTAAATTCTAAAAGTCTTAGAGAAATTGTCCAAGATCATATAGATAGGGAGTGGCAAAATCAGCCCTGAGACCCATCAGTCCTTTCCTCCCTTTGCCGCCCTTTCTGCAGGCTCTGAGGACTGCAAATCCAGGTATTCTTCTTTCTATTTATATTTACACATGGGACACAGTTCTCCCAGAACGCTTTAGAAGGTACTTTTGTATTTAAAGGTTATGCAGCACATATACAACCTGATGGAAAAATTATTATTTTGGGAAGCTGAGACAGGAGGATCTCTTAAAGACAAGAGTTGAAGACCAACCTAGGCAACCTAGAAAGATCCCATCTCTACAAAAGTAAAAAATAAAAAAGTAGCTGGGTATAGTGGCACGTAACTGCAATCCCACCACTTGGTAGGCTGAAATGATATTGAGCCCAGGAGTTTGAGGTTGTGGTCAGCTATGATTTTACTAGAAACTAGACACATAAAGGGAAATATTTTATTGTGTAAGCCTCCATCAGGTTCATAGAGAATAATGTAGGAATTTTACTTGTAATCTGCAGTAGACCTTTATGTGGTATATGAGATGGTTCACAGAGGTAAACCTTTTCCGCTGTATGTGGGATAGTTCACAGAGGCTAAGATCACCATTTAGCAAAGTGATCAAACCACAATGTTGGAAAAGGATTAAAGGGGTTTACATGCTGGAGGTTTTTGTTGTGGAGGTGCTTCCAAAATCATGTTATAACTTAGTCCAAGGCTGAGGTTATTTCTTACAGAAACAGATTCTTGGTACTAAATTTGAGTATGACCACAACAATGAAATCTTTGCCCCTTTATACTGAATCAATTGTTATTCAAAATTAATAGTGCTAGATACAGGATAAGTCTAAGTATAAAACCTAGAAATTACTAAAACTTAGTCATGTAGAACCTGTATCTATAAATAAAATTTTGTTTTTTATTTTGTGTTTAATGATAACAACCCAAATATTTAACATAAGATCCCTATTAAGAGTAAAGACAATCCAAGTTCAGAAATTCCTTACTATCTGGAGTTCTGTCTCACTAAAATACATATTAAAAGCTTCTAAGTTATTAGAGCAGATAGAAATCTGCTTAAACACCATTTCTAATGACTTGAGAAAAACATGAACTTGGATTTTTTTTGATACTTTATGCGTCTACAATTATTAGAAAATTATTGTATAGCTCATCAGTCGAAACTCTAGCAGAGATAATTCGGCCATCTCCAAAAGGAATAAACAAGATAATTGAAACAGGATAAAAGACAGTTGAGAAAAGAAAGGGGGGCTCAGAAATGGCAAATGTGAAAGTTGGCCACCAAAATATGGGAAAACATGATTCAAGGTCCACCATCTACACTGTGTCTACTGGGAAGGTCGAGGCTATGAAGGGTCTCAGATTAAAAAAAAGAAAAACTATCATACATAGGATACTGGAAGACTTTGGCGCTTCTCTAGCGATATGCTAATTTACCTAACATACTATGTGAAGTGTCTTTCAGAAATTCCCTGTGCCAAATTGCACAGTTACTACTCCCAAATCAATCCTTAGAGAGAGGACTAATGGAGATGAATATTAAGAATAATGAGTAAAATTTACATTCATAGGGATGATCTCTTTTTGAGCCTCCAAGTTTGAATGGGACTTAAAATGTGTTCTTGACGGTAATTATTTTGATGTCTGGGCATTGAAATTATAAAAGCAGAATTGGCTAGTTGAGTCAATCCATGCACTGTTCTTAGAGGAAAAAAAGAAAGGAACCATTGGCCAGAATTTTTTAAGAAATATATTATGTTTAAAGTATGCGTTCGAAGGGTGAAAGGGGACATGCTCACCAGTTAAAATGCTGAGGCCTACCCACCCAAATTCTTTAATTCATCAAACCCGGGGTTTCTTTATACATGAAAAAGACCTAGAATTGCCTTGTGAGCAGCCCTTGGGGAGAGACCTCATGGTGTTCAGAGCAGGAAGAAGAGACTTTGGCAAACTCAGAAACTGATAATAGAGTGGTTGATTTCCTGAGGCACATTGTCTGCCCCTTCACAGGTTAACTCTCAGAGCCTCATCCTGGACTGAAAGCTCAAATCACATACTTGAATCTGAAGGTTTTCTGGTTTTCTCTGCAAAAGAGTCTGTGAATTATTAACTTAATATTACCTTATGATGCATTTAAATTTGCTGATTTGTATTGGTGGAGAAGCGCATTTTATAGCAATTTGTTATGCCTTTCTACTAACCTTAAGATTTTATAGATAGCATAAAGGCATTTTATAACAAAGGGAGCAAATTTTCATGTTTACCATGCCACATGTGAGTAATTATATATACATTGTAGTATTTAATTATTATGTATCAAAAATATTTCTTTAGTTATAAAAATATTTAAAATATTTAAATGTCTACAGCTCCTGCAGCAGACTTTTGCAAAGTGATTTGGAATTGGGGGTGGGGGACTGTGGAGCAAAAATACCAGTTAGAAAGTTTCTAGATGGTAAAATGAAGAGAAAGCACCTATTTAGTGAGAAACAAATGCTCAGAGAATGCAGTATAAAGGTCCAGGAACTATAGATACATTTGTTATTATATTTGACATCATTGTTATCTTTACTTTTTTATTCAGATAATCAAAGATCTCAGATTTTTCATGTTTTATTTTAAATGGAAATTTCTAGAACCTTAAATTAGCTTAGACACGTTGACAGTTATGTTGACATTAGGGTTTCATACTAATGACACTGAGGTTATTTTCACAAGAGACTATTCCCATCTTTCAGTTTACTAAGTCAAATTTGCATATCAAGCAATTAGATGTTTTCTGTACTTATATTTTGGGGACGCATTGCTTTTCTCAAAGCCTGTTCATGAATATTGTTTTACTTTTAAAAAATCATTCTATTATAGAAAGAGATTTTGAAGTTAAACTTAATATATGCCTGTTTTAAATACCATTAACCTACAAAAAGTACGAGAAAATCATTAGCTTTTCATATTATTTTTAATTTAAACTAATAAATACAAGTGTTCTATTTCAAAAATAAGCACTGTAAGTATTATCTTAAAACAGTGAGGTTATTGTTGATTATGCCTTGTTGCTTCAGATAAATTTGCAAAGAAAAATGAGAGTTACTGGTGTGATTACCCAAGGAGCCAAGAGGATTGGAAGCCCGGAGTATATAAAATCCTACAAAATCGCCTACAGTAATGATGGGAAGACTTGGGCAATGTACAAAGTCAAAGGCACCAGTGAAGACATGGTAAGACCGACTTACCCCACTGAATTCAAACACAAAACCATTGATTATCAAGGGACAACAGAGTCTTCAAGAGAAGCCTTATATTGAAGATAATTTCTGATACTTTTCATTTTTAATTGGGCTAGCAGGGAGAAGGGAGTAGGACGTTTTCCAAGTTACAGATTTACAGTGGCTGACATTTAAGTTTTCTCAGATTTTAATTGGTGGCTCTACAAATACTTTGTGACAAAGTTAGCATAATCTCATACAGCAGTTGAGCTTTATTTTAACAATAGTCTGCTTTCAATTTTATTTCCACCACTTTTATAGTTTGGCACTTTTCTTCATCAGATAACTACTGGCCAAAACTATTGTTTTAAAAGCAGGAAAGGCACCAAATTATAGAAAAGATATATATATATAGGCTTCATATTGGAAAAAAATTAATTTAGCAGAATAAAATATTTTAGATGAAGTGCATATAATATTTAATATTTCATTTCCTTTTTTCCCAATTCATTTATTAATTCTTCCTCAAAAAGTTCAACTTTTAAAATATCAGGAAGGCAGGTCATTCCTTTTAAGACCAAACATTATAGTAGGTCCTAATAAATTGCACACAAAATTTATTAATTGCTCTTGTAAATGAATTTAAGTAAAGTTTTTAAATTATCCAGGTTTACATTAAAGGCAAAATAAATAGGTTTAATGGAACAAAAAAAATGACACATTTTAGTTCTTGATTTTAGAGGGAAACATAATTCTTCACCAGAAATATATATTCTCTCTATTTATATAAACAGAGACAGAGAATGAGAACGATCAGTCTCTTATCCCGTGATCTGGGCCTGATTAATGAAGATGTAATCTTGATGAGTCAAACCCTAAAGCATCATGTATCTGATTGTAGCGTTAGGGAGACTGAGTGGTCAGAAACACTAGTGAAGACTATTTCCTACCTGAAAAAGTTTAAGTACTAAGTAGCAAAATGAACAGAAAGATTGAGATTAAGAGAAGGATTTAAGGTGCCTATTTCTCAAGAAAAGAGAGAACCACTCTGAAGGACTGGTCTTAAAATTGACAAAGCCATCACAGTGGAGTATGGATTAATGCCACAGGCCACAGTGGTTTATGGCTTTAATTAGGATTTTATGTATGGGTTTTATATCCACTGCTGATGGCAGTGTGCTTTCGAAATGCTCCCTACTTTCAAATTATTTAATCCAGTCTTCGAAGGATTATTTTGGGTAAGGAATAGGGTCAACGTATAAAAAATAGATAAGGAAGCTGCTGCAGTTAATAATTTAAAACTCTGTATTCTGCCTTTACACAGGTGTTCCGTGGAAATGTCGACAACAACACGCCGTATGCTAACTCTTTCACACCCCCCATAAAAGCTCAGTACGTGAGACTCTATCCACAGGTTTGCCGAAGGCACTGCACTTTGCGAATGGAACTTCTTGGCTGTGAACTCTCGGGTGAGCCTCATATTACCTATTTCTGTAGTCTCTTTTTAAAAGTCTATGATTGGGTGCCATAGCTGAGTGGTTGTGGTGTCAGCCACATGCTCCAGGACTGGTGGGGTCGAACCCTTCCAGCCCTGCTAAAAACAAAAAATAGCTGGGCATTGCGGCAGGCACCTGTACTAGCTACTGGGGAGGCTGAGGCAAGAAAATCACTTAAGCCCAAGAGTTTGAGGTTGCTGTGAGCTATGACACCACAGCACTGTACTGAGGGTGACAAAACTGAAAGTCTGTCTCAATTTAAAAAAAAAAAAAGTGGGGTAGTGCCTGTGGCTCAAAGGAGTGGGGCACCTGCCCCATGTGCTGGAGGTGGTGGGTTCAAACCCAGCCCCGGCCAAAAACTGCAAAAAAAAAAAAGTGTATCAGTGCGTAGCCTGCTCTACCCTGCAAAAGCCATGCTTAGACATTTATTTCTCTTACAGTATATCTACAACATGGTTCACTGAGAGCCAGTGTGTATGTGTAGGATCAACAAGTACTAAAACATGTTGCAGGGCAAATTTAATATAGAAATAGTAATGGAGTTTACAAAGTGGTCAATGAAAGTGCAAGGAATTCTCAAAGGAAACCCCAGATCAATTTTAAATGTGTCTTATTGGTTTGGGTAGTAACTATGATTTATGTTTTGTGACAAAAGTTCAGTAAAAACTGGAGTCTGCCTGACCTCATAAATTGCAGTCAAAGTTAGCGTGAATGGGACAGAAGAGTAAGCTTCATCTTCGTCCGTCTACCATAAGAATTTGGAAAAAAGAACTTTTTTCTTTCTTCCAAAGAAAGAATTTATTTATTTATTTATTTATTATTTTTTATTTATTTATTTTTTTTTTTTTTTGGAGACAGAGCCTCAAGCTGTCCCCCTGGGTAGAGTGCCGTGGCATTACAGCTCACAGCAACCTCCAACTCCTGGGCTCAAGCGAGTCTCCTGCCTCCGCCTCCCAAGTAGCTGGGACCACAGGCGCCCGCCACAATGCCTGGCCATTTTTTGGTTGCAGCTGTCATTGTTGTTTGGCAGGTCCAGGCTGAATTTGAACCCACCACCTTAGGTGTATGTGGCTGGCGCCTTAGCCGGTTGAGCTACAGGCACCGAGCCAATTTTTTTTATTTTTATTAAATTATTTATTTAGATTGTATGAAATATGTATATGTATATGTATGATTACTCTCAAGCGGACAAGACTTCAATACCAAGATTGCTACTGCAAATTCATTCTTAGATCATTCTTACCTAGCACCCTGCTTACTGTATAAATAGTGATTAGCCAGCTCAAGAATAATTTATCAAAGAACTAGAGTTAAATATTCTCCTCCCCCAGGAATATCAATACGAGATTTAAAGATGAGGACTCAGCATGTGGATTTTGTATTGGTACCATGTCAATTTAATTAGGTTCTAAAGTACATGGAAAATTGGGTGGAGGAATTTCACTCTGTTTTATTTTTGGTGGCGGTTCTTATAATTCTGGCATCAAAATTTACTATCTTTGCTGCTGAAATTATTTTGTTTAAATAAGAAAACGCACAGTTCATGCATTGTTCCACTTTTTAGCATAATCTTGTGTTGGGATCGAAAGCGCCACTGAGAGACACACATGTAAAAGCAAAGGAGTGTCTTTTTTCAAGCATATGCTTGGGTTACTCCACTCAACAGCGTAGCTGCGAAGGGGCGACCCTGAAATGAAGCAAGGGGAGGTTTTTAAAGAATATAGAGGAATTTCATCTGGCATTGTGTCAGGAGGGGTTGCCATTGGCTGAGCTGTTGTCCAGGGATGCTTGGCCCCACCTGATATGCCAGAGGTGCTATAGGGCGGGTCTACAGTTAGGGACTTTTCAGAGGAGGGTTGCCTGTTCACTTCTGATAGACTAGCTCGGTCTGGGCTGATTGACCTTGGCCAGATGGGGGTGTTGCTGTGATTTTTCCTGTTATGGGCTTGAGTTCTAAAGTGGAGTTACACCAGCCTTTTCACTTGAAGTGGGGGAAAAACCTTTACCAAACTTAAAACAATGCCAGTTAGTTGAGAATAGGAGGACAAGTCCCTTCAAAGAGATAACTTGTGGGACTTTGATTTATTTCAAGAGCTTGCCCTTAAGTTAAAGTCCCTCAAATAAAAGTTATTATGAAGAATAACCATTTTTAATAAGCCCATAACATTTAAAGTAATTAGAGTCATTTGACCAAACAAGTGAACCTATTTTAAGAATCACACTTTTATATTCCGTGTTTTTGTTTTTGTTTTGGTTTGAAGCAACCAACATGTGGTTTGCCATTAATTATCCATTAATTAATAGTAGTTACTATTAACTACTACTAATGATAACTAGTACCATTAATTATCCTCAGAGAGATTCTTTCCCTAATTTTGGTAATTCAGACTGTCCTGTTGGCTGCCAGTAAATCTTGGCAGAATTCTTGCCATACAGTGTTTGTGTTACACATCAGTATATCACCACAGGCCAGGGTCCGTCTCTAAGCCATTCATCATAAAGCAATCAAGAGGGAGCCCCGGTCTGACAGGGTCTGCTGCGAGCCGCGTGGTTTTAGTTGCTTACCATCACCTTCTGCAATTTTCCAGTGGTTTGATTCACGAAGATCAGTCCTTCATACCCAGCATAGCTACACCCCTAAGGTGAGAGTAGATTTTACTTCCCAGTTTGTCAAGAGGCTACACCTGACACTTTACAGATTTTAGTTTCTCAAAAAGAAGTAGCACCCCGTCTCCTAAAACCACAAATTGATTTTGAACTTGCACGTAGACAGCGCTGTCTCTCCCTGGATGCTTTTAAAAGCTGGAGCATTTCACTAGATACCGATTTCATCAAAACTTCATTCTGCCCAGGTGCTGTCCGTACTGTGAAAGAGTTAATTTATATTTGTGAAGTCATAGAGATGAAGAGGAAAAAGTGTAGCATGAGGCACAGTGGCAGAGAGGCCACCTGGAACACTTGGAATTAAATGCGAATGTAACCTACTAGACTATTTTCCACAATCCAGGGCAACACTGGAAAGCCCAAGGTTGCCTTATTGTGTGCTATCAACTGTGATAAGATCTTCAAGCCTGCCTAGAAGATCAGCAATTAATCTTTTCCCAGACGCTTGAAAAGATCATCTCCTAAATTCTCTGAAAGAGATATGACTTAAGATGCTAGGAATGAAATAGATTATGATGATAATTAGAGGATGAAGACCCATTCATTCTTTGAACAGCTATGTAATTATTTTGAACTACTTCTGTGCCAAGTAATAGACAACAGAATGGATATGAAATTAACTTTATGGGTAAGCAGAAATGATCAAAGTAAAGACACTCCAGTATATCACAAAAGGAGATACGTTATATCACAAAAGGAGAAAACAACTACTTTGCCTTTTCTCTTGTAAGCAAAGTTTTTCTTTGTAAACAAACTTTTACAAAGACTTGGTAGGGGAAAGGGAGAGGGAGGTGGAATTGGGGATGGGGATAAAAGAACAAGTCCTAGGTTTATAATGCAGAGGATGCACGCTCTTCTGGAACTGTCTGAAGATACAGTGAGCCATTATGGCTACTAGACTTCCTAGAATCTTGGAGAATTGTTATGACATTTTTCTTACTCAGAACTGGCATTTTAGGTTTTAGAGCCATTTTTATCATGGGGTTTCAAATATATGTCTCCTGTGCCAAACTCACTTGTTTTATTTATTTATTTATTCATTATTAGAGAATGTCTCACTTTGTCGCCCTCGGTAGTGCCATAGTGTCACAGCTCACAGCAACCTCCACAGCCATTCTCTGCCTCAGCCTCCTGAGTAGTTGGGACTGCAGGCACCCGCCACAACACCTGGCTATGTTTTTGTTGCAGTTTGGCCCGGGCTGGGTTTGAACCTGCCACCTTCAGCATGTGAAGCCGGCGCTCTACTCACTGAGCCACAGATCCTCCCTGTCATTTTCTTGTGTTTGCATAGGGTAGTGGCAGTTCCTGGAAGGTGGCAGTAACAACAGACATACGGTAGCCTCAAGTAAAAAGAAGTGAGCTAGACAGGCCAATAGAAAGCAGTTAATCTAGTTAAGAATCATTTGCCCGGAGGCGCCTGTGGCTCAAAGGAGTAGGACGCCAGCCCCATATACTGGAGGTGGTAGGTTCAAACCTGGCCCTGTCCAAAAAAATGAAGCCTGCAAAAAAAAAAATTATTTGTCAATAAAGAGTTCTACCCACCTCTTTTAGAGCTGAGATTTAAAAGGCTCGTTTTAGAGAGTGCACGTGTCATCAGCTTCTCTCTAGTACTCACTGATACGCTAATATTGGGGGGCTATAACTATATATTGGAATGAGTTTTACCAAAAATAGCTAACTCCTTTCCTCCTTTCTTTCCCTTCCTACCTCCTTTCCTCCCTTTTTTCTTTCCCTCCCTCCCTCCCTCCCTCCCTTCCTTCCTTCTATTAAAAAAAGGAACTAACACTTACTAAACGCTAGCTGTGTGCCAGCATTGGTTCAAAGTAGTTTAGCAGTTTATTAACTAATTTTTTAGAACCCTTCTTTGAGGTAGTTTCTATTATTATTACCATACTGCAAAAGGAAATATTGAGACACAAAATGCTTAAATAACAGCTGCAAGACTACACAGCTGGAGCAGGAAACCAGGAAAGCGTGGGGGAAGATGCTGGGTAAAGTCCTCCGTATTTCTCTTTGCTTCCTCGATGATCAAACTTACCTTGTGAATAACTTGGCCAGAAGGAAACAAGACTCGGGCACTGGCCTGACATAATAGAATCATGCTGCCTGTTGTCAACTGTGCAAGTGAAATTACAACACAGTTGGGAAGTTGTGTGTACACAGGCACACGCATGTGCATGGTATTCCAAGGACAGGGGAACCCAAACATTACACCACATTAAACTTGAAAATATATGTGGTAGATTTGGGAATTGTCTTGAAATATCTGAATTTTAAACGTTACTGAGTATGATTGGAATGTAAGAATTTCCTGAAAGTTTTATCTGATAATGATTTGGGCGGAATGTGCGTATTTTCTTCTATCTCCCGAATGCCTGGCTCCTGGTTTACACTGAGTATATATTAGCTTCCTGCCTTCCAGAAGAAGGCGTGAGGGTGCTGTAGGAACCAGTGCTGAAGATTAACATATTTCTCAAAAAACAAAATACTGTCCAGTTTAGAATAGAATAGTGAGCAGTTTGTGAAAATGACATTATACCTAGAGAATTTTCATTTGCAGTATGATGAAAACAAATAAAAGAAAAGCAAATATACTTTGTGAGAACATGTCCCATTTTTAGAGACACAATGAAACTGCAGGAACCTATGGAACAGTCATGAGGCTTCCAGTAATGAGACAGGAGAGAGCATTTCAGGATTGTTTTCATTTTGCGAAATCATCTATCACAGAAAACTAGTTTAAATTGTCTGTCTTGTTTTCAATTTCTCCAAAATATATTCCGACAAAATAGCCTGAATTGACTATCTCATTTTTCGATTTTGTTTCAGACTTATTTCTGATTATAGCCCTTTTTTTTTTTTTAATTTAGATGCTCTCTCTTTGGGGGAATAAACAAGTATTACGTTTAATCTTCTCTTACCTATTGAAAATGAACATGGAGGAATTCCAGAGTGAGAAATTATTTTTCTTATGAGACTCTTCTCATTTCTTCCAGGCTGTTCCGAGCCTCTGGGTATGAAATCAGGACATATACAAGACTATCAGATCACTGCCTCCAGCATCTTCAGAACCCTCAATATGGATATGTTCACTTGGGAACCAAGGAAAGCCCGGCTGGACAAGCAAGGCAAAGTGAACGCCTGGACCTCTGGCCACAACGACCAGTCGCAATGGTTACAGGTAAAATTTTCCACCACTATTTCACCACCCACTGCTCCTCCTTGGTTAGGTGAAAGTGGGATCATTACCTGCACAGTAATCTAAATGTGACTTTGTGTTTGGTTTAACTAAATTGATAAAACAGAGATTCCATATACAGCCATGTCCATTACTCCAGTGTTAATGTATAGATGCTGCCAGCGGGTTGATGCTGACCAAATCACACTGTGCACATATGTGTCGACTGATCAACGGGGAGGGTATTTGCATCTTAACGCTCATCTGTTCTCATGCTTTGTCTGAATATTGCTTTTGAAAGCACAACAGGGGAATTTAAAGGGCATCGAAACCATGCCACGGACCTGTGTATCGTTCTCACAGAATCACGACTCAAGACACATTGGCTCTTTACCTGTGGTTGCTAAGCAATGGAGCTGTTCGATTATGTTTTCTTAACAGAGCTTGGTCACAGGGGCAACCGTAGCTACTGCAGAGCTGTTTATCACTGGCAAATGAAGTCAGGTGAACGTCGGTGCTCTTTAATGCAGTCTTCACGAAATTCACCTTTTTGTGGAGTACTTTTAAGTAGGCACAGACTTGTTAATGTCTTCTGTGGTAAAGAAACGGAAGACAGCTGGATGCCACAGTGAAGTCACTTGATTTGAAAGAGTTCTACTTTCGTTATATCTATGCTGTATTCGTAAGTTCAGAAACTGTGGTAATTCATTTTATTCCCGCAAATCATGGAAACATTCAAATGGAAAACTAGATTGGCCAAATCTGAAACTTCTTAACGGGTCACCTGGAATTTGCTACAGTCCCTTGTCAGTCCTCTCGTCATTTGGCCTTGCTTGTCCTTAGTCCTTGGGTATTTGTTGAGTTGAAACTTTATTGAGTTCTTTCATTACTGCCCTGCATTATAGGTAACTATGTGTCTTTTTCCTATTCCTGCTGTGTAAACTCAGGGAAGGTAGAGGGTGTGTGTTATTTTGCATATCATCCCAGCCCTGACCTGGTGTCTTTGCCCTCTGTGTGGCAGTGCTTACGAAATCTAATCCTTATTTAACAAATGTTTTTGTGATGGGCCTATGATGCTCTCTGTACAATTGGAGTGATGGCACGTGAGTGTGCAAGGCTCTGGTTTATTCTCAAGACTTTATTGCCTCTCTTGCTTAAAGCATTCCTTTGTTTGCTGTAGGTGACCACCAGACCGTGCTCCTCTCTCGTCCCAGCTGATCTCCGGTCTAGTCTGCCTTTCTTCCCCCTCTTGTCTTCCTGCTAATGTCTCTCTCACCAACCCCACATACTCCTATTCACTGACTTAGCACGTACTGGTGACCTCAACCCCTAAAACATGCATCCAAGGACCAGAAAATCATTTTACTTTGCCCCTCCCCATTGTCACTTCCATAAAAATCTATTCCATAAGAAGCAATGCACGGTGTGTGTGTGTGTGTGTGTATGTGTCCTGAAACACAAATGTGATTCTCTTACTCCCTTGTTTAAAATCCATCAGTTCCCCCCTCTCGGTTTCAGGAGAAAATGCAGACCCATTAATGTAGTGTAAAAGGAATTAGCCCCATTTCATCTCTTACCAGGCTTTTCTAAATGTGCTTGTTTCTCAAACCAAACACTATCTCCCGTTCCCATTTCTTTACCAATGTCCTCTTCTTAAAGGAAGAGAATGGACAGAGACCTCTCCCCACCTTCTCAACCTCCTCTCCTTTACCCTTTGGGAGCAGTTTAGACACAGCTTTCTGTGGGAAGGCGTTGCTGCCAGCTGGATCCCACTTGAGTCTGACTCTAGTTCCCCCCTAGGTCCTACTGTGTCCTGTCCCGGTAACATTATTATGCTATATTGGAATTTGCTTCGTGAGGGCTGGGACCACACCTGTCTTGTTGAATTTCTTAAATTATTGCCCAGCACATAACCAAATACTTGTCACAATATCTGACATATGGTTGGCATTCTGTGAAGATTTGTTGAATGAATGAATAAATGATAAGCTCAGAGAACAGTTCAAATTGTGTAAGTTTGAGCCAATACAAATATAAATGTAATCCCCAGTTTAAGAAGTCAACTGTTAACATAGTCTCAAATTTTTTTATAAAATTTTAAGAAGAAATCTAAAATCTATGTCAAAGAAACTCAATTTTCATAATATTTCAGTCATATCTCAGATTAACCGGGCATAGCTAACATTATTTATGATTCATAATGCCTTGCAAAGTAAGGCAAAATATTTTATATGCTACAAGTAGCTCAGACAGGGTGGTAGGTCGCAGAAATATACTTGTAAAGGGATTGCCAATGACAAGTTTTTTTAGAAAGATAAAAATAAAACAAATATTTTCCCATGAATCTTGGTGTTATTTTTTAGTGTAAACCACCTTTCATCACTTTAAGATGGGTTCTCAGCTGTCTTCTACAAGTCATATGCATGTCAAAATTGGTTTACTTTGTTGATGATGAATTTTCTGCCCATTCCAGGACCAGTTCTTCTAATATATACCTAGTTTTTATTGTGTCAAAATATAATCGGAACCTCCAAGGCAAAGTAAATTGACATCTTTCTTCTTATTTTTTTTCTTTCTGACATCATGCAAAAAAAGCTCCAAAATCCAGAGAATACAGTCTGCTCGACTGTACATTACTATTCTTGTTAGGGTTTTTGTTGAATATAAGCTTAACATTTTTAGAAATAACTATGTATAGAGTGACTTTGGTTTTAAGTTGTTAATATAGAGGTGATACACAGGTCAATTTTTACTCTGAATTTATTTATAAACTGGGAGGCTTCAGAATTTATAAACACGGAGGTTTCTTAACTTATAAATTTTGGTTATATTTTTAACAAGAATACATCAGTTCTGAGCAATAACTCCAGAAAAGAAGCCATATTTTTTACTTAAAGTCCCTTTCTTCATGATCAATCTCTTGCTTGTAATTTTTAAGAAACCTTAATATGATCAAAAAACATGACCCTTTGATAAAGAAAATTTTACTTTTACTTAATAAATTTTTCTAAAACTTAAATCAGATCATATCTGGAAATACAATTATAGTAAATGTAGCTGAAAAAAATACCCTTGTGCTTCATTTTACTGTACTTAAAGGATAAATGTCCTTCAAGGAATTCCTGTATTCAAATATCTCCTTAACATTTTATTCTTATTATTACTCCAGGGTTTCTTCCATTCTCTCCTATAAGATCAACGTGTTGGAAACTTCTCAAGTAAATGTTCTTATGTTATTTTTTAGAAGCAATTATACCTAATTGATTAGCTTTCTTGAGTTATTATTAATCATAAAATGATTGTGCTATTCCTCTATGAACATAGCAAGAGTGTCTTAGGCCCATAGGTCATTCTAAATGAGAAAGATTTCTCAGAGCTTTGCAAGAATGCTGTTCTGTTACTCTGATGTGTATGATGTTTTCCAAAAGTTGAAAATTTAATCAAAATTTTAAGCAAAAAAACCCATTATAATAATTTCCAAATCTCCCAGAAGTTAAAATGCAGTTTCTGCCTTTCAAAAAAGCCTTACTTACATTTGATCCTGATTCCCAGGTAGGACATGACTCACACATGCTCAGAATAGACTTTAACTCATATTAAATCTACTTGGTTTGTATGTTTGTTTTGTTGTTTTTGCTTTGTTTTGTTTTGATCAGATTCTTAGCTTCTGTGGTTATTTTCTAAACAAATGAGGAAGAAATTGTGTACAATTTAAAGTGGATTGAATGAAACAAGTAGCAGGACAGAGGAAGCACAGGGTATAAACTCAACAAGGGAGCGATCCTTTATTTCCTTTTGGCGGATTGTGTAAACTTAGGAGAGTACAGTTTGACATCACCAGTTATAATCAGCAGTGAACTTTTGCATACATAGTCTTCCCTTCCTCCAAAATGGAAAAAAAATGAAATGTAAATTAGTGCGTTGTTAGTTGCAAACTGTGGGTAACATTAATACATTATATAAATTAGCCTTGGAAAACAAAAAAAAAATTTGTAATGTCTTTATGTATCATCAGATTTTTTCCTTTACTTAAAAGTAGCAATAATATCAATAATTTAAACTAAGTACTATGATATTTTGCCAGTCTTCTCTACTATAACTATATTTCTACTAGAATTATGTGTTTTTATGTCCATTATCACTGGCTTTCAACAAAAAAAGTAAATTCCCATTTAATTTATGCTCAGATTAAACAAACTGATTGAAATTGACATGTTTAATAACATTCTCTCAGGAGCAAGGGTACTCGTAATGATAATCTTCTAAATTGTGAAGAAATACACTTATTGATTTAGTGTTGTACCTGGAGCTGTACAAGAAGTGCTATAAGAATGAACTGGTATAATTAAAAGAATTTTAATTAAAACATCACAAATTCCCTTATACTGAATACAGTGTATCTATATTCATTGCCTTATTGGTGGTGACTGTAGAAATAGGATTATTTACTATCTGTAATTAAATTTACCATTATTCAAAGGATTTCAGGTTTCATAAAGGATAACATAATATAAATGACTAACAAGAAGGAAAATGTCACAGTGTCACCTAGGAAATGGCCTTTGGTCTATTTCACGAGACATTTGCTAATTTGCGTTAGTGTGTGTAGTATTTCCACTGAGTTAGTAGAATTAATAGAGTTGTTAGACTGAGCGTTTTCATGTCGACCTTTGTCAGAATTGCTTCTAACCCTACGGAGCTTCATTTCAATACTAATTTTGTGGAAATGTGTAAGAAAGCAGTTGATTTTAAGCTTTCAAATGAATAGGCCTTATTTAATTTAGTCCTTGTCAGATTTTTAAAAGGTAGTATGTTAGCCCTTAAAATTCACACCTCCTTTAAAGCCATTAACTTTGCTTGCCCTCTGGACAATTTATTTACTAAATAGTTGAAGGAGAGACTTTCGAGTATGGAGGGACCACTAGGACCCGAGGAAGCAGAATGAGGGTTCATGGTATTTCCATAGCTCCTGCTCCCGCTCTAAATTTGTGGTTCCACATCAT